CTGGACACGTAACCCTACACCCTAGACGACTTAACTCATGTCTGGATTGTTGATTTTTGGGGGCCCACTGCTCGGGTAATTTGGAAGCCACTTGGAGGGTCAGCTGACTTCGTAAGTACGTTAATAGGGATAGCTAGGGTTATTACATGGGTTGTACGTCGTTTTACGGGTTATTGCTCCACTTAGGAATTATCCCTGACCCTCCAAGCGAGGGACAAGAGTTTGTGGCTGTTGGAAGCACGTCTATCAAGGAATATGATGTAACGTAGGCGTTTGAGAGTGTTCTCAATCGAGTCTAGACGCCTTCATGAAGCTTGATGGCAGACTTATGGGGCTCGAATCTTTCCTGGAAACTACATGTTGTCTCGAAGGATAGTTGATTTACTAAATCCTAAACCCTAAACCCTTTTTTGCAGAACACAAAGAGCGCAGTCTAGGGCCGTTTATCAGGCCTTGAACGCCTACTAAAAGACCATACTACACACCAGAGAGGTAGTCTTTCCTGCAAGGGGTTTGGGGTTTACGGTTTATGGGCCAGCAACCGTGATCAGTTTTTTGGTATGCAGTGAGCAGCAGCCCGGTTTGTTCATATCGTCCCCCTTGAGTAGATAGAATATGGAATTGATCCTTATCATAAGAAGATCCCCATATGTCCCATATTCTACCTACCTAAGGGGGACTATACGACTATACATCCTTCTCCAACCCTAAACCAGAAACCCTGAACCCTAAACCCTAAATCCTAACCCTGAACCATACTAAATTCTTTTAAGCCCCATGGCTTGAAGCCGTTAATCCCTGACGCAGATTCTCAAAATCTTGATTCCGACCCCCCCAAGCCAGTTGTCCCTGAGCCACAAAGCCAGAATAGGGTTCAGGATTTAGGGTTTAGGGGATTCTCAACACCAAAGCGCCAAACTTCAAACCTCAAATCCTGAAATCCCAATCCCAAAGTGCAAACTATACATTCGAAATCCTTGAGTCCTAGACTTCAAGTTATTTCATATGCTGAACTCCGAACACCCTATCCCCAAAACCCTAACTAAGCCGCTCAACCCCAAAAGTTTAATTTTTCGAGCCTCAAACCGCAATGTCAATCCCAAATTCCTCAACCTGTACCTAGACCTTCGGTTTTGACCTTAACCGCGCACTCCATCTACTGAGAGTTTTCAGAGCATGCTTCATACGAGCCACTCTCACGGTTAAGCTTACCACGGGTTCGCTAAGGGTGGACAGGGGTCCCTCTGGTAGTTTAGTGCAGTCCTGGGTTTATTACCTAAAAGGATTCATGTCCTATCAACATGGGAAGTCCCTTGAGCACCCCTTGCTTAGTGAAACACGAAGCCCCAATCCCTAAGCACTATGTATCTCTAGGACCCCTTTTGCATGACTTATCTATCCCCAGCAGATTCTTCAAAGCAAGCTAAGACCATCTGTCTTGAGAAGCCTCCAACCCTAAACTCTAAGAACCCTAAACCCCAAACCCTAGAACCCCAAAGCCCTAAACCCTAAACCCCTGAACCCTAAACCCTTCAACTCCAAACCTCTAAAACCCCTAAAAGCCTGAACCCCAAAAAACACTAAACCCTAAAAACCCTAAAAACCCTAAACCTTCCAAGTAGGAGCTGTATGGATGGTCCTTCTCTTCCGGCGAGGAAGAGCAAGCGCCACCTCGCAAGGCTCCAGGGTCCAGGTTTCCAGGGGTTGAGGGTTAAGGGTTCAAGGTTTAGGGCTCAGGGTTTAGGGTTGGAAGGGTTTGGGTTTAGGGTTTGGGGCTAAGCACTGTGGGTTTAGGGTAGGGGTGAGGTTTTCCGCTTGGGGTTTAAGGTGCCTGCGTCTGAAGTTTCTGCAAATCATCTATCTGTATCTCTCTCTCTCTCCCTCTCTCTCTCTCCCTCTCTCGCTCAATGTTTTCTGCTTTCTTTCGCTCTCATCTGTTGATTCAATGTCTGTTCTTCTAACATCCGTCTGCTCTTTTGAATTCTCTTTCGAAGCTGCTTGCTGCGGGCTATACGGGCTGTGGGTTTAGGGGTTGTGGGTTTAGTCTCTCGTTTCTACGGCACTAAAATGTACATGCACTTTGTGCATTCTTCCTTGTGGAAGCTTCAGCTTTCTAAGCCGCTTTTGCAAATGGCTGGGTTTCGTTTCAGTTCAACTTGGGTTCGAGACGGTAGGTTGGCATGTGGGATCAAAGGAGTTTGGGCTGGGGGCTGAAGGCTCAGGGTTTAGGGGTCATGGCTTGGGGCTTAAGGTTTTGGGTCCGGCGCTTAGGTTGGCATTGAACATGGAGGTTTGGGCTACCTGAGCTATTTGGTCAACAACGTCGAGGTGTCTGACATCATGCGCCCCTGTAGGGCTTGTCGGCATTTTGCACTGGAGGGGTCCATTTGCTTAACGGCTTCGTTTGCCTTGATTGGAGTTCCGTTTAAATTGGGATTCAGGAGAATGCATGCGCCCTTGACCTCAGATTTCGCAAAACAAGAACCATGACAAAGAGGTATCCACTCTAGCAGCCCTAAGCCCTACCCTCTAAATTCCCTTGAGCCCAAAGCCCTGAACCGTATGTATGCCTCAAACCCGAAACGAACTGGTTGTTAGTATGGAATACAAGAATATAATCCGTATGTACACGCTATGTAATATCTCCCTTGTTCCCTACTAAGAACCAGCAAGTATTTTTTTCGGAAAGGGACGGGACTTTCCAGGAACCGCCCGCTGAGCGACAGGTGCAGCAGCCCCCTGCAGTCGTGCGCCAGGAAGGGGGGTAGCTTAGGCTTAATCTTACTGTTTCTTAGTTGGGAATATTCTTAGTTGGGAATATGGGAATATTTTATGTCGGGGTTATGTAGGTATTTTTTTGTAGGGGTTATATAGGGATGATATTTATTCCCTGCTAAACACCGGTAAGTCGGAGTAAAGGGAAAGGACATATGGCCCAAGATCTTGAACTTGAGGTTTTTTGTCGGGTCTCGACTTTTGGGGCTTAGGATTTCAGGGTTTAGGTTTGAGACGGCAGGTTCGCATGTAGGATTGAAGGAGTCCGAGGCTCACGGTTTAGGGGTCAAGGGTTGGGGTCAAAGGTTTTGGGTCCGGGGCCTAGGTTGACTTGAACCTGGAGGTTTGGGCTACCTGAGCCAGCTGGTCAACACCTAAACCCTAAACAAAATGGAGAGGTCTGACATCATGGGCCGTTCCTTGAAGGGCTTGCCGAGGCATTCTGCACTGGAGGGGGTTTGCTTAACTGACTGGTGGTTAGTAGG